GCAAGAGCTTGCAGCATCATCGCGATCAAATGTAATATAGGCGAGCTCTTCGAACGCCCACAAGGGATACGTATGGACACGCGCCCCCCGAACGTTCACAAGCAGATTCCTGAATATCCTCCTCACTCTTCCGCGTGAGGAGGACGACGGCGAAGACGACTACCAGGGGAGGAGGGGAGTGAGGAGGAGGCGGAGGAGGAGGAGGAGGAGGAGGAGGACCAGCAGCAGCAGCAGCATCAGTGGAGGGGGCGGAGGACGAGGAAGATGAGGAACAGGAGCAGGAGCAGGGGGAGGAGGAGGACGAGAAGGAGGAGGAGGAGGAGAAGAAGAAAGAGGAAGAACGGGAGGAGGAGGCGGAAGAGGACGAGGAGGAGGAGGAGGAGGAACAGGACGAGGAGGAGAAGGAGAAAGTGGTAGAGAAAAAGGAGAGGAGGAAGAGGAGGAGGAGGAGGAGGAGCAGGAGGAGGAAGAGGACGAGGAGGAGGAAAAACAGGAGGAGGAAAAACCCATGGGTTGTTTTGTACGTTCGCCTTCGAGGACCCGTCCGAAGACAATGTTTGGAGGATGCCTCGAGCGAAACGCTCATGTTTAACAACAGTGTCAAAACACCCTTAGGTGTTCAACACGGTCGCTTCTTGGGCCATCTTGGAGGTCATCCGAGATAGCTCCGAAAAGATGCCTTACACGAGATCTTTCGGCATCCCACTGTTTCGAGGATGTCTCAGGCGAAACGCCCACCGTTCGAGGATTTGAAAATTAGGCGAACAACTTCAAGATCTCCATTCTTGGAGGATGTCTCAGGCGGCATCGTCATTTGTTTGCATAGAACGTCTTAAACGAGAACCCCCAAGATCCCGAGTTGGGGGGGATGTCTCAGGCGAAACGCCCCTTTTCTCAAACCTTTCCTGCCATGAACGGGAAGCACGTGAAAGGGAAGAGTTGCGCAAGAGATTGCAGCATCATCGCGGTCAAATGTAATATAGGTGAACTAGAACCACGCGTGCGCTTCGCGCGCGCTCAGGTTCCAGCGAGCCCCATTGTAGTCTAAAGTGTTCGGCATCGGGTGACATTGATTGTCACAAGAATCATGCACCTCAGGGGGCTCCACCTGCGGCCCATCAGACAGGCTTGGGCCCCCAAGCCCATGCTGGCACACCCTTCACAAGGATCGCGTCCCACAGGGAGACCAACGTGATTCCATCCCTAGAGACGAGGTTCGCATAGTGGCACGTCCCTCAGGAGGACCGTACCCCGCAACTAAATGCATCTGCGGCACCAGAGGGGAATTTCATAACATCGGCCCGCTCAGTTCGGCGTACCTCTCATACGGATCGTGGCCCGCAAGGACATCCACGGACGGCCCCAAAGACAAAGTTCGCATCCCGCCGTCCCGCCTACTTCGGCACACCTCGCACACGGATCGTGATCGTGGCCCACAGGGATCTCCACCCACGGCCCCCGAAGCAAGGTTCGCACTGCGCCCCCCCCCAGCCATGGCGGTACACCCTGTCACGTGGATCATGCCCACAAGGAGCACCACCGAATCAAAGGCCCCGAAGGTTCGAACAGCGCCCCCCCCGCCCATGTCGGCACACCTGTCACGCGAATCGTGCTCCAGAACGGGCATCTTTGCATGGCGCCCCCGCGCCCATTTCGGAACATGTTTGGCACGGGGCGTGCCCGGAGGAGGTCCACATGCGGCCTCAGCGGGCGCGTTCGCGCGACACTTCACGCGGATCGTGCCCCACAAAGAGTTCAGCGCACCCGTGCACGCGTGCCCCGCGGCAGCCATCTTTCCGCATTGCCCCGGCCTCTTTGGCTGTCTCACAGCGTTCCTGGCCCGTCGGACGCTGCAGGAAGTCGTTTTTGAGGCCTGTCTTCGCCGTCTTCGAGCCCGCTTGGAGCGCTTCGTGACTGTCTTGGAGGCAATCTCAGGCGTGTTGAGTCCTCTTGAGCCGTCTTGGGGCCCTCCTGGGGCCATTTTTGGTGCTTCTTGGGGCGTCACGGGGCTATCGTGGAGGCCTCTTGGGTGCTCTGGGGGCGATCTTGGGGGCCTCGTGCGCCATCTGGACCGTCAGCAGGCCGAAAAAAAACAAATGCAATAAAAAATACCCTGGCGAAAGACCCAACCATATGCAGTTGTGAATGCCGCAATTGTGAGTACCTTCTTCGGTGGCGCTCCCTATGGGGCCACGAACCGCATGAGGGGCATGCCGAAATATGGCGGGGTACACAACGCAAAGGAATACGATAGGTCAGATTACGAAATAATGAACGCGGGTGAGCCAGAGCGCGAGAGAGTCTGAGTGTGAATGGGTCTGCGTGGGAGTGAGTATATTTGCATGAATGCGATCTTGGCTACGCCTAGTGTAAATGTATATGAATGTGAATGGCTCGAGCACGCCTGTCCGAACACTTGCGACACTGGGCGTGGCCGCCGCAGGCAGCTTCCGCGGGAACCCCGACGGCAGCGCCCGCGCGCCGCGACGCCCATGTCGGCACGCCCCTCACGGGGATCGCACCCGCTTCCGCCCCTTCTTTTCCCCCCTCTTTGCCTGCGCGCTCCAAAAATCCAAAGCTGCGGGCGCAGAGCAGCGCGGAGTCCCCGCGACGCGCGCAGGTCGCCGCGGAGGGGTCCCAGCGACGCGCGCAGGTCGTCCGCTGCGCGGAGCACAGAGAGCTAGCCGGCCGGCTGATTGCGGGCAAGGCTCCGGCCGCTGGGCAGAGCGACGACGGGCGAGCGAGGCGCTGAGCAGAGCGCCGCGCGGAATCCCCGCGACGCGCGCTGGTCGCCCCGAGAGGGTCCCAGCGACGCGCGCGGGTCGTCCGCGATGGTCTTGTCCTTCTACGCATTCGAAAACTCTCCACGCACGCACGGCGAACCCCATCTACCTGGCAGGACGCGAAATTGAAAAATCGGCGCTAGTGGCGCCCATGAAAGCAAGCACACTACGCGAAACACAACCCATCAGAACGCGCTCTTATGAACGACGACGGCGGCGGCGGCGTCGGCGGCGACAGCGGCACGACGACGACGTCAACGACGACGCAGCACGACGACGACGTCGACGACGACGACGACAACGGCGGCAACGACGGCGACAACGACGACGACGACGACGACACCGACGACGACGACCACGACGACGACGACGAACATCTATGTCCATGGCTTTATGAATCCGTTCGCACGGTTGGAGAGGCCATGAGACGCCCGTCGCTGAAGAATCCTAGACACCGGTCGGGGCCAGGCCACACGCCGCGATGGTTCGGATTCTTTGCAATAGATGGCTTCACAGCTAAGTGGACTCAACAAGCATGGACAATGATGCTGCGCGCGGGCAACAAAGAGAAGGAAGCGAGGAGGAGGTAAAGGAGGAGGAGGGGGAGGGGACCCTCTCTCCCGTTCGCCTGTGGGGCCGCGAGCATGACGCCGACGGCGGCGCCGACGGCGGCGACGGCGGCATCGGCGGCGGCGACAGCGGCCAGGGCGGTCCTTCTTCCTCCTCCTCCTGCTCCTCCTCCTCCTCTTCCTCCTCCTCGCCCTCCTCCTCGCCCTCCTCCTCCTCCTCCTCCTCCTCTTCCTCCTCCTCCTCCTCCTCCTCCTCCTCCTCCTCCCTCCCTATGGGACCACGAAACGTGTGAGGGGTGTGCCAAAGTGGGTCTGCGGCACCATGTGGGGTGCGCCACTTGGACCTGAGATGGAGCTCCCTGTGGGGCCACGAAACGTGTGAAGGGGTGCCATGCGAACTGCACCACTGGGACCTTAGGTGCAGCTCCCTGAGGGGCCACGAAACGTGTGAGGGATGTGCCAAAAAGGGGCGGTGGCGCCATGCGAGCTGCGCCACTTGGACCTCAGGTGGAGCTCCCTGAGGGGCCACGAAATCTGTGAGGGGTGTGCCAAAATGGGGCGGTGGCGCCATGCGAGCCGCGCCACTTGGACCGTAAATGGAGTTCCCTATGGGGCCACGAAACGTGTGAGGGGTGTGCCAAAAAAGGGCGGTGGCGCCATGCGAGCTGCGCCACGTGGACCTTAGGTGGAGCTCCCGATGGGGCCACGAAACGTGTGAGGGGTGTGCCAAAAGGAGCTCCCTGAGGGGCCACGAAATCTGTGAGGGGTGTGCCAAAATGGTGCGCGCCATGTGGCCGCCATGGAGCGGGGCCACGCGTGCGCCGCCATGCTTGGACCTTAGGTGGAGCTCCCTATGGGGCCACGAAACGTGTGAGGGGTGTGCCAAAATGGGTGTGCGGGACGCATGCGGGCACACCCACTGGGACCTTCGGTGGAGCTCCGTATGGGGCCACGAAACGTGCGATGATGGCGACGAGGACAACGATGATGGTGATGACGACGATGATGGTGATGATGACGATGATGGTTATGATGGCGGCCATGATGTTGATGCTGATGACGATGATGATGATAATGATGATGGTAATGATAATGATGACGATGATGATGATGATGATGATGATGATGATGATGATGATGATGATGATGATGATGATGATGATGACGATGAGGATGATAGGAGGGGAGAGGAGGCGGAGGAGGAGAGGAGGAAGGAGACGCGGGGCACCGTCTCTTCAAAACGAGGACCCAACACCACATCATGGTTGGGAAAAACGCTGTGTTGGGGGATACTGGACTAGGGCTCTCTGATTCTGTTCTGCCTCGCGCGAGGGGCTTGCGGAGAGTATGGGCACTGTTGCCTCGACGAGCACACTCCCTCCGAGGCAGAGCTTAGGTCGGGTATGTCCCCCTACAGGCAGATTTTGGAAGACAAATGTAAGAATAGTCCCAATATTCATGAATGGTCAACAAATACTCAAAAATCGTCCCCAGACTATATGATATATATATATATATATATATATATATGTGTATATGTATATGTATAGATTCCTCCTGTAGAGGGACATACTCGACTTTAGGCAGAGCGCGCCGAGGGGGCCGCCGCAGCCGCCCGCGCGGGCGGCCGACGGTCAGCGCCCAGCCCCTACGGCGCCCCGTGCCGAGGCTCCACCACGCCCGCGCGCGGAAGCCCCGCGGGCCACTCCACGGCCAGTGCGGGCCCGCGACTCGCGGCACGGCCGCCGGCCACGCGGCGGCGCAGAGCTTCCGCCGCGAGGAGCGCCGCCGCCGCCGGGGACCCCTCCTCGCACGCACTGCAGCCGGGCGACCTGGCGGCGTGGGCAGACGTCTCGGGGGCCTCCCCTGTCACCGGCAGGCGGCCATGCGTCAGGGCCCCCTCCGATGCCGAGCGCGCGACCGCGAACCCAGCACCGCGTGCCCGCACCGGCGGGATGGCCTGTCCTTCGCGTGCCCCGCCGGGGGGCGAGCGCGCCGCCTGGCGGGCGCTGGTGCGGGCTGCCCAGACGCGCTGCCCCGCCGCCTGCCGCCCCTCGCTCGGCGGAGTGCCAAGGAGCGCGCGCCCGTGGCCGGCTGCTCGGCCAGGCTGCTCCTCAAAGGGCTCCGCGGCTACGGGGCGGAATCCACTGGCCGCCTGGTCGAAGGCCGCGCACGTGGAGGCGGAGGCCGCGCCCGGACTGCCCGGGGGCTGCCGCTCCGCCTCCTGTGCCGCCCGCGCCCGCGCGGGGCCCCGCCCAGGCGGGCCGGCAGCGGCCGCGGCGGGCCCCGCGAGTACCGCGCCGCGCGCCCAGTGCAGGAAGCAGAGCTCGCGCATGGCCTCGGCGAGCCGCTCCGCGCGCCGAATGCTTGCGGACCCCTGGAGGGAGACGGCGCGCCGCAGGCGCACGCGGCCCACTTCGCGCCAGGCCGCCAAGCACAATGGCAGCGCCTCCGCTCTGCGGGGCTGGCATGGCTGGGGCTCGCGGCAGGCAGGCGCCTGGCGCGTCGAGCGCAAGGGTACCGACCACAGCAACCAGCACCGCAGCGCTACGTGCCGGAGGCGCCACCGCGAATTGTGCGCCGCCAGGCGGCGCCGCTGGCCGGCCTGGAGCGAGCCCTGGCGTCCGTGCGCGGCCCAACGCCAGCACCTCCAAGCGAGCTCCTGCTCCACCGTGGACCGATCTGTGTAGACCTTGGCCCTGTCCAAGCAAGCGCTCAGCATCCCTAAGTTCGCGGCGCGTCTGCGCTCCCGCCACCGGTCACCGGCCCGCGCGGCGCCGGACCACGCCGCCCAGTGATGGACGACGAGGGCGCGCCGCCCCAGGCAGCCGTGGCGCTCGGCTGCGCGCTGCTGGTGCGCCCGCCTCCGCCTGGCCTCGCGCGACAGAAGGCCCCAGGAGCGCCAGCACAGCCTGGCCGCGCCATTGCTCTGGCGCCTGGCGGCGTCCAGCAGCAGCTCCTGCACGCGCGAGGCCTCCCGCGTCAGGCGCGCCCATGCGCCCCAGCACGACCTTGCCACGAGGCTCTCCCAGCGCTTGGCGACGTGCGCCAACAGCCCTTCAATGCGCTCGGCCTCGCGGGACAGGCGCGCCTCGATGCGCTCTGGCATGGCCTGGCCGCGAGTACGGAGGGCAGCGAGCGTCAGGCGCCGCCACTCGTGCCAACAAGACATGACCGCGCGACTTTCGCGCAGTGCCAACATGCTTCGGCACGCCACACGCCCGAGCCAAGAGACATCCTCTGAGGGGGGGCCGTCCGCAAAGCTGATCACCGACCACGACTGCTCTCTGAGGCAGTCCAACAGTCGCTGGTTCCTTCGAGAGTAGAACGTCACCTGCCACAAGAGGAACGCCAAGCCAATGCTGCGCCTCTGGCTGGCCCCGCTCGCGCGATCCGCGAAAGACGGCATCCCCTGGCACACCAGATTCCACCGCGCGAGCGTGCGCCATGCCTCCTCCGTGCCCTCCGCACGCTGTGGCGCCTGCCGCGGCGGCCGCCGCAGCAGCTCCAGGGCCGCCCGCCACAGCCAGAGCATGCTCTGGGCCTCCCGCGCCCAGGCGGCGTGCAGCGCCCCCCGCCGCGCGCGGCCCCCGCCGCCGAGCGCGCGCCACGCGGCCCAGCAGAGCCCCTGCAGCAGCGCCGCGCGCTCGCGCTCGCCGCGCGCCGCGCACCACGCCACGGCCGCGGCGGCGCCGCTGGCGCCGCGCGCCGCTCGCGGCTCGCCGCTCCCGCGCTGGCCGGCGATGGCCGCGTCGGCGTCCGCTTGGGCGCGGGCGAGCCTGCGGCGCGCGTCCAGGAGCTGCACCTCGAGCGCGCGGGCCTGCCTGGCGAGGGCCTGCGCCCGGGGCTCGAGCTGCATGGTGCTTGGCGTCTTCGTGCCGCGTTCGTGACGTGCCTCGCCCCGTCTTCTTCGCGGCGGCTCTGCTGCAGAACGAACTCATCACGAACGCGGTCCACGAAATGGCAGAACACCCTTGTTGTAGAAGAAGAGCACAACGCCATAGACATGAACTTTTTGCGCTCCACACAGACTTCTTGGATCTGCTCTGCGGGACGGCGCCAGGGGCGCCGCCAGGGGGGGCCCAGCGCGGATACGAGAAGTCCGCGCGGAGCGACGAAAGTTAATGTTTATGGCGTTGTTTCTCCTTCCAGCCAGCTTCGAACTGATCCCCATCCCTGAGATCGGCGAACAAACAGCGAGGACAATCGTCAGGATGCGCCCTCAGAACCTTCGGGAGTCCTCAAGGTCGGCACTGAGGCGAGGCGATGCCAAGCACAGGGATGGGGATATGCTTCAAACTGGCAGTCTTCGACTCTCGCTCGACCCCCGCCTCCGCCGCCACTTCCGCGCGCTCCCGGGCCCGCTCCGCGCGCTCTCGCGCGCCCTCCGCCGCCTCGAGGGCGGCCCTCGCCTCCGCCCCGCCGCGCGCCGCGTCCGCGAGGCGCTCCTCCGCCTCGCCCAGGGCCTGCTCCGCACGCCGCCACCGCCACTCGTGCGCCAGGGCCTCCTCAAAAGGGGCCCAGGGACTCACAGACAGCTACACACACCTCCCAGGATTTCCACATTTCGTCATACGTTTTCTGGATGTTCGTCTTCTCCCCCACTACCCCTATTTTCCCGCATTTTCTTCGGGATCGACGATTATGTAGTATTTGTGTCTGTGTATTTTCTTCCCTCCTGACTCCTCCCGCGCCTCCTGCAGCGCCTGCGCCTGGGCGCCGCGGCGCACCTGCGCGCCGGCGCTACCGGCGCTGCGCACAAGCCAGGAGCTCGCGCAGCTGCTGCCGGGGGACGGCGGCACGCGGGCGCGGCAGATCGGTGGTTCAAGAGGGGGTCCTGATGCATGGGGCCCTGATGGATGGGAAGGGGACCGAGGGCGGACAGAACCTTCTTCGAGGCACCCCGCCCCTCAGGACCCCCTCTGCGAGCCACCCGGCACAGCTGCGGGCCCAGGGCGTCCAGCTCGAGCCCGGCGCGGCCCCCACCGTGGGCGGCGGCGGCCACCCGCGCCTCCAGGACGGCCAGCAGCCGCTCGTCGGCCTCCAGGAGGCGCCGCGGGGGCCCGGGGTGGGCCTCTCCGCCGGCCGGGTGCCGCAGCCCAGCCATGGCGCCGCGGGCACTGGGCGCGGGGGGGCGCGCCGCGGCCTCTGGCGCGGCCTGCAGGGGAGGCGAGTCCACCAGTATAGCCTTCCACAAGGGCCCAGGTCCTGAGTCCCCAGGACGTCCATGGATGTTTGGTGTGGGAACGCCGCGCTTGCCACAGCAACGAGCCATCGAAACCCCAGAACCCCAGGGCACCTCGGAGGCGAGCAGGGTGTTTCTTGGCATGGGTCTCCACTGTACCCCCTCCCCCCTCTGTGCCGCGTCTCCAGCTCGAGCCAGCACGGCTGCGGAGGGAGGGAACAACCACACGGTCACGGCAAGAGAGATCTGGCGGCGTACCAGCTGCGCTGGTCGTGGGCAGCGACTAGGACACGAGTTGGTCGTCGGAACGCCTCGGGGGGCGCACCTCGCATGCCATCGCGATGTGCCCTAGGATTCTCGAGTGCTCGCTCGAGTACCCTGACATGCGGAACACTCTAGGCCAGGCGTCGATTGGTCGTTCTCTGCCAGACTGGCGCTGTTTCATGCTGGCGCATCAGGGGTACCATGTCTGGAACTTCTGTTGCGACACGATCACGCAACAACGAACATCCGATGCTGGAGCCCACTCTTGGGGGGCCTGGGCCCGAGGCGCACATGTAAATCCGCGCGACAGCGCCATCATACCCGAAGATCCCATCCTGCCCGGCGTGGAGGACGTAGAAGATCGGAGCAGGGCGAGTGGAGACAACGGCAGCGCAAAATCGGTCCTCGGCCCCCCCAGTGTCCAGACGAGAAGCTTTTCGAGCTGCGGCCCCCAGAGGGTCAACTGCCGCTGTCTCCAGTCGCCCTCCTGTGGACCGAACTCGTGCGTCGTGCCCGGCTTCTTCGCATGCCCATTCTGGAACTCGAATTCTCTTCAAGCAGCGCCCCGCGTGCCTCTCTGCAGGCAGGCCTCCCGTGCATGCCCTCTTCCCCCTCGTCTCTCTCTGCCTCTCTGGACCTAGATCTATATTCTACATCTACACCACGCCCTTGCACCTCTGGATCCATACCCCCCCTCTGGATCTCTGGGAGCAGAAGGGGGACGAGGAGAGAGGATAACCGGGAAGAGGACGAAGAGAAAGCGCAATACTGAGGGTGAAGGAGGGTAAGGACGCGGGGGGCAACAAGGGGAATTACGAAGAGGAGGAATCGGCAGAAGAGGGGAAGAAGCGGAAGCAAGAGCGTTGCGACTGAGTCCGTCTGGGAGGAGCCGGGGGGAAAGGAGACTTCTTACCTGGAGAGGGATAAGGGATGAGGGCGGATGAGGATGATGGGAACCATCGGAAGAGAATGGACAATGACGCTGAAGGGGAGGACGCTGAGCAGTGAGGAGGAAGGATGGAGAGGAGAAGGCAACGCCGACCTCGTTCCCCCATCTCCCAGTGATCATGCTCACCCTCGCCCTCATCCTTGCCCCCGCGATCCTGCTCCCGACGGGCTCCTCCTCCTGCTGGAGCTCCTCCTCCTCCTCGCCATGAACCTTTTTGCCCTGACCTCTGCCAGGGAGCAACGAGCAAGCGACGCCAACATGAGCTCTCGCAGGCCCGCGTGCACTCGTCTGGTCGGCGCTGGCCCCCCCCCCCGGGCGCGCCAAGCCCGCCAGGGGCGGCGCCGCAGGCGCCAACGGGGGGGGGGACCCCCCCCGCAGCCGCAGACCAGAGCAGTCCACTCCCGGGGCCCAGGGAAAAGCGCACAGGAGCTCGGAACCAGCGAGGATGTCCCCGGGAGCCCCTCTCCTCCCGGACCCCTCCTGCGTGGGGCCACCCAACTGGGATCCGAGCAGATGGTGGGCGTCGGAGGCTCGCGCCGCCTCGCAGACGCCTCGCCGAGGCATCGCCGACCTCCGCGGGGCCAGCTTGGACACAGTCAGGCTTCACAGCGGCCCGCATCGCCGATGCACCGGCGATGTGGCGCGGACCTCGGGCCCCATCAGCTCGGCGATGATGGTCTCTTCATGCCTACTTTTACGTCGGGCGTGTCCCCCTACAGGGGGATTTGGGACGAAACATTAAAAACACCATTACCCAGGGACGTACCCAACCCTTCGGCAACAGGTGGCATTATCAACTGGTGCTTTCAGAATAGCTGAACATCCG